TGTGGTTAGCAACACATCCTCTAGCTTCTTATCACAGTGTGCTCCTGTGCCTGGCATAGAGAATGGGGGGGGGGGGAGACTTTGCATTTGATGCAGGTCTCCTGGCCAGCAATGTCATCCTGGGGGGCTGCAGGAGGCCTGGGAATCTATAAATGAACAAGTCTATAGGTGAGGGCCATCAAGTGGCCCTGGAGCCACATTTTGGAATGCATTTCAACAAATTCGCTGGCTTTCACCTAGTTCTCAAACCTGAGCCCAACACACCCCCACCACCCCCCACCACCCCACCCCCGCAGCCAGGAGATTCACCTTTCTTTTAGCACTAAGGCTGATCAATCACCTGCACCTTCCATCTGGAAGCCTTGAGTGCAGAGCTCTAGACATGATGTCCAGAGACATTGGTGACCAGACTGGAGCTCAGTGGGGAGGAGGCAAGCAGTCAGACGCTACAGAGACCCAGCTTCTAAAAAGTCTGCACTTATGCTGGAATAAAAGAAGAGGAACAAATGAAAGCTAAAGGACTTGGGAGGGAGAGTGAGGGAGAGAGACTGACAGGGGATTGTGGTGCTCTGGGCTCTGGGAATGTTGCTGCAGCCTCCGACCTCAGCTGAGAGTCCAGCATAGGGGGCAGGGTCTGCCTGACTTGCACTGGGACCTGGAGCCAGCTCTCCTCTCTAGCAGAGTGGCCAGGGCCTCCTAGTCTGTGAATTGTTGGATTTTAAGAGAGACTTAGCCTGCATTTGTGAACAGGAACTGTCAGAGCCTCTCCTCCTGCCAACCCCTCTGCTAGGAGCTCAGTTAGGGAGCAGACACTGGCGTGTAGGCCCAGCTCCTGGCAGGATGATTTTCAAGGATCCATAGATTTTACCCACAAGGGAGACACTTTGAAACACACTCACCACTGGGGACTCACCCAACTTTACCCTGGTCCACCCTGGAAAAGTTCCCATCAGGGCCAAAGTTCCAACAAAAGTGTCCCCCGACTGTCCTACCCCTATATTTCTCCCATCAGTGAAGAGGCATCCTGGGAGGAAACTGATAGAAGAAACAAAACTAGGCAGAGAAAACAAGCAGAGAGGGTGTCCCCACCCCCAAAGAGAGGAGGGTCCTGGCAATAGACATGGCCTCCTGGGTACATTCATTCATGGTGGGGAATCCACACAAGTGCCTAGTGAATGTGAATGAAAAAATCCAGGGCACAAACCTTGGCACTGCCCTCACAGGAGCAGCAAAGGACTCTTGGCCCTGGGCTGCATGTGAAGTGGGGTGAGGGTAGGAGGTACAGAGGGATATACACCATTTCCTTTCTCAGTGCCAACTACCAGAATCCCACTGGCCAGAGACTAAGTCACATGGCCACAGCCACATGCATGGACGGCTGTGAGAGTCTGTAGATGTTGGCTCCCTCTGGACAAAAGCTCAGTGACTTTCACTGTTAAGAGAGGGGGCATTAATGATGGGGACAGGTGAGTGTCTCATTCTGACAGTGGTACTGGATAGCAAAGTGTCTACCTTGCCGTGGAAAGGAGTGAGTCAGGGTGGCTGACCATAGTTGATAGTTGTCATACATCAAAATGTAGAACTATTTCTTGTGCTAACTTTACACAGCAATGCCTGTACCACCTGTGCACGGGGCATATACAAACAAGGATGCTGCAGGTTAGTCCTCTGAGAAGGCCCCACTTCAGTGGGAAACATCTTCTCTTAGGAGCTTTGCTAATATGAGCAAGTGCTTCCAGTTCTGATAACACCAAGGACCCCTAAAGACTGTGGGACAACCGCTGAACCATGACAGAAAGAGGCCTTCTTGGGGTCATAGTGGCCGGCCAGCCTTTTAGTTCCTGTGCCCTTCTCTGCATCATGAATGACCACCAAGGGGAGCTGAGGCACGATTCTTTTTGCTCTGCTAGGAAAAAGTGAATCCATACCGACAGACTCTCAGGTCCACAATCCTGTTTCCTGGAAACTGTCCTATGGAATGTTGTCAGCTTCAGGTTCCCTTTGAATGTCCTCAAGCCATGAGAGGAGACCACCCTGGCTTTGAATTTAAAGGGCAGCACAGGCTGTAGTTCCGGTTGTGGGAGGCCATGATCAGGATAGGCAGGATAGCTCTGTGCAGGAGGCGGCTGCTGTAGCTGTCATACTGACTCTGTTGTACCTTTGCAACCAGTGGGCCACCAGCCACTTCCTGAGGATGAGCTTACCCCTGTGGTGGACTCTGGTGAAGCTGAACTTTAGCCACAGAGAGTTGCTCAACTCTGGGTTCTGTGTGGGACTCTTTACAGCTTAGCTCCAGCAGCATTGCAGACACCCGATGCTCCCCGCAGATCTGAGGCAAAGGCCTGTAAGCCCAACATGGGCAAGAAATCCAACTCTGAATGTGAGCCGGAGCTAAACAGCAGGAGCCCAGGCCTTTGCTCCCACCACTCCCAGGAGCTACTCAGGAGAAAGCTTCCAGAAGTTAGAGTGGAAACAGCACGATTTGGGTATGATGCCGAGTCTCTGAACATTTTCTTTTTTTCATGCGCTTGCATGTTATTTATTGATTTATTTATCTGTCATTTATTCTTCTCTCAGACATTGCATCCCAAGTGCAGTTTCCTCTCCCTCCACTTCTCCCAGTCCCTCCTCCCACCTCCCCCTCTCCCAGATCAATTGCTCCTCTGTTCCCCTTTAAAAAGAGAGAGAAAAGCAGGCCTCCCAGGGATAGCCACCAAATATGCCCTAACAAGATACAATAAAACTAGGCATAAACACTCGTATCACATATCAGAACTGGACATAGCAACCCAGTAGGAGGAAAAGGGTCCCAAGCATAGGCAAAGGAGTCAGAGATATTCCCCCACTCCCATTGTTGGGAGTCCCACAAGAACACCAAGCCACACAACCATATGTACATGCAGAGGACCTAGCTCAGACCCATGCAGGGTCCTTGTTTCTTACTTTTGAACATTTTCTTAATTGTGTAAAATAAAAAGAGAAAAAAATTCCTTTTGTGAGAACCTGAATTTGGATGCATAATTGTGCTTTCCTTAGGGACCTTCCCTTGCTGCAGGCTAGGGCTCTACTCAGAGATAGTGTGGCAGGTATATTAGTGGACAGCTGTTTAAGGAGGGAGGAGCCTCGAGGGAGCTGGAGGCAGCTAACAGCTTAGAGACCCTCATTGTCAGGACAGCTAGGCCACCAAGGTGTCATTGTGGGTAGGAGAGCTGTGAGCAGAGGGACAGTAGCACCCAAGCTTTCTTGGTAGAGCAGATGGGTGGAATGTGCTAGAACGAGAGGATTGGTGTTGGTGTGAGGAGGTGTGTTAGATCTAAAACCATCAAGCTAACCCTACAGTTTAGCACCAGGGGGCACTGGCAGTGGCCCTCTGGTCCCAGCCCTCATGTGTGGAAGGCAGGTGCAGAGAATTGGGCCAGGGTTGTCTGCACTGGGTGCAGTGAGTCAGCGGGATCATCCAGGTGGGAAAGAGAGAGAGAGAGGAGACCAGGCAGGCTGGAACCAGCCACTCTGCAGCTTGTCATTTCGCCCCTGGGTTGGCCATGAGGAACCCTCCGTGTGTGCCATCTTGTGAACTTGGGGTTAGAAAGGCTTCACAGAGCTGCCCTAAGGTTGCTGTTTACAAAAGTCACTGGGTGGGAGTTGGGGAAGGGACAGCCTTGGCTGACTGGTAGAGATGAGGATTTCTCAGCTCTCCATCCCCTGGACCCCACAGGTCCTAACAAGAGCCCACTTGGGCACACACTGTATCAGCAGTGCTATCTGTGCTTCGCACCTCTTTTATTCTGGAGTCCGGAACTTGGCAGGTGCCAGGCAGAGGTCCTGTCCCCAACAAAACCCTCTACTCTGAGTCTGCCACATATTCCTGGTAGACAGCGTGTCACAGGAGCCCTCATAGCCCTCTGCCGAGGATCAGGTATATCCTCTGTGGCTGCATGGGATGAGAACTCTGGGAGCTTCTGTACTCCGATTACTAAAAGGGGGAGGGAGGGGGGTCTTGGTCACACAATTTGGTAAACATGGGCTTGAACTATGTTGAAAAGGGTCCTTTGAAGCTGGAGGTCTCAGTACCCTTAATTTGGGAGTCTGAGTTTCCAAGGAGGAGGTTAAAGGGTATTCCCCAAATGTACTAAAACTATGGGATCCTTCTTTTGTAAACAGTGCTTGTCAGAACCTTGCCAAAGCACAGACATCTATAAATTGACCCATTTGTCAAATGATCAGAGAAGGCTTGCTCTGCACCATGATGCATGTGGCTCTTTGCTAAATGAGATTTCATTGCCAGATACATAGATTCCTTTCTTACTGCAAACATGTGGGAATCTGTTGGTTCTGTCTGGAGTGTCCTTCTTTTGAGGGCTTTCCACAGCATGCACACATCTTGACTCTTCTATCCTCAACACACCACGGGTGGGTGCTTGGAGCCTAGACATCTGTGACCATGTCCCTGTGGAAGAGGATCACTTCTGAGCAGGGCCAGCTGGCCCCTTCTGTGTCAGGCACATGGGGCAGCTGAGGAAAGACAGGATTTGGTTCGCTGCCTGGTAAAACGTGGGAAGCAGAGAGAGCCACAAGGACATGAGAGGCAGTCACACAGCATCTTTGTGTCACCAAATGCCACTGCCTTTAGATCTTGCTAATCAGTTGGCATATGTTGCAGCCCTTACATGACTGGCTGAACCCGTCTTGATCATGAAGTATAGTCCTTTTAAGTGCTGTTGAATTTTGTGTGAAGTATTAAGTACTCTTACTAAGGACTGTTGCATCTGTGTTCACCAAGGACATTGATTATACCTTTCTCTTGTTACTTACTGTATCCACCTGGTTTTCATACCTGAGTAATACAGGCTCCTAGGATGAGTCTGGAAGCATCCTTCCCCTTTTCATTTCATGCAGTCATCTGAGAAGCATTGGTGTCTGTGCTAATATTTTGTGTATGCTCTAACAAAGCTTGCCTGAAGATCAGTTGGTGTTGATACTGAGCATTTATATCAACAAAGATGAAGAGGTAGGAAGCAGCTAGAGGTACAACCCTACAATACAACCTCTATGATGAAGACCCTTTAATGGAACATTACAAAATCCTAATGACCCTTCGGAGAAGTAAAATTGGCTAGCCATCTACTCACCCAGACAAGGGTAGCAGTAAAAGTTCTTCCAAAAAGCACAAAGAACATCTTCATCAAATCAGAAATTGAAATAATGAAATCTCTAGACCATCCCAATATTATTAAACTTTTGCACATAATCGACACCACAAATAACACTTACATGATTATAGAACATGTCATAGGAGGAGAGCTAATGGTCAGGATTGTGGAGTTTGGCTACCTACAGGAAGAGGAGTCCCATAAGCTATTTAAACAGATGGTATGTGCCCTCCAGTATTGTCACGGGAAAGGGGTTGCTCATAGGGATTTAAAGCCCAAAAATATTTTAGTGGAAGGCAAAGGAAATATAAAACTCAGTGATCTGGGGTTGGGCATCAAGCTTACCATGGGGCAGAAGCCAGCATATTTCTGCGGGATCCTTCCTTATTGCACCGCAGAACTCTTTGAAGGTAGAGGCTATGATGGCTGTGCAATCGACATCTGGAGCTTGGGGGTTGTGCTCTACTTTATGTCCACAGGGTGCCTCCCTTTCCAGGGAAAAACCTTTGGAGTACTAAAGGAGAAGATCTTGGCAGGAATGTACTCTATTAAATTCAAGCTGTCGCCAGAGCTTTGGGACGTGATTGCTAAATTGTTAACTGTAAACCCTGGACAAAGACCAAGAATAGGTGACAGTTGTGGGTTTCAACGGCTAAAGCATGGCAGTGAAGGTTCTCCCAATCCCTTTAGAGAGAATGATGAGGACAGCTACCCAGACCCCACTGTGATGGTCATCATGGGCGTCATGGGATATAAGCAACGACAGATCAGGGAAGCTTTAAGGGAGAAGAAATTTGATCAGGTGATAGCCACCTACTTGATTCTTAGGCAGCATTCACCCTGGGGGGACAACTTTATAAAAAATCTTCAGCCCAAGCAGTCGGCTCGAACTTTGAACCTTACAGGGTCCCACGATACCAAAAGTGACTATAAAGAGGGGATCTAGTGTCCCCACCCTTCCCACCTCCATTTTGCCCACTCTACCTGAGAACGACAAAAAGGGAGAGTGTGGTACTGTGTGCCTCCCACCCTGACTGCCCTAACAAGAAAACAGCCCCCATTAACAGAATCTGCCCTCAGCGTGTACATGACGCTCACTTCATAAACATCATCTGGGAGGATACAGAGAGCATTATTAACACCTCCAATGAAATATGTACCAGCCTGTCTTCAGTACCAGAAACTTATTCCAACCAGTTGTCCCTGAGTGTGTCCAAAGCCGGCCCTAACAAATCAAAGAACAAGGCGTCCTCACAGGATGTTTTATCTCATCACACCTCTGTGGAGGAAGTTCAGTGCAAAGACGTCAACATACCAGGTGAAAATATCAGCTCATCTCTCCCACAAACCTTGCCTCAGGAGGACCTCAGAGCACAGCCCCACAGTGTGGCTACAGCTGGTCTGAGGTGCTGTGGATATCTCTCTATATAAATAAAACACTGATGGCCAGTGACCAGGCAGGAAGTAGGTTGCCAGGTAGGAAGTAGGTGGGACAAGGAGAGAAGAGAATTCTGGGAAGTG